ACGGTCCCAATGCCCACATTTTCAGCCGCATCCATTGGAGTGCCAATTCAAGTTCTGGACAGAGTACAGGGTTATATCATGACCCTCAGACCAACTCTATGGAGGAAGCTCACGTGAACTGCCAGATGTCCAACAGCACACTTACAGATGGGCATGGGGCCTAATTAGAGCAAGTATACATCCAGGGGGGCAAAATACAGTTCCTCATTGTGCCAGATATGCTGAAGAATTGTTCCCACATTGAAGAGTACGAAGAACAAAAATCAGGATTCTGGGGCTGGAAGAGGCAAATCAGCAATTCTTCAAGCCCAGATGGCTGCAAGAGGAAAGAGACATGGGATGGAGCTGGGCAATATTTTTTAGCTAGTGCCAATAACTCTGGATCAAACTCTGCTTTGTAGCACTAGTAATGCCAATAAAGATTTGAATTGAATTAAATTGAATCGTTGCACTGAAAACTGCAAAACCTGTTATTTGTCTATGCTTTAATAAGCATGTTATTAGCCATTCTGAGTGGTAAGTAAGCACGAGAGGAACAGAAATGAGTCGATGTCTATGCAGAACACATACACCATAAAATGCTCCAAATAAGCTTTCTTTTCCTTTCCTTTCTTTTCTTTCATCTTTCTTGGAAACTTCAAGAAAGGAATGGAACTTTGCCAGATATATATTTCCTGCCTGATTAAATGTACCATATGCTAAATGTTTGGATCAGTCATTAGCTAATAACAAAAGTTCTGAGTCATTTTGCAGAACAGTGAATGTGAGACTGAATTAATTATCTACCTATCCACCTGCTGGAAATTTCTTTCCTTCTTTCTTTCTTTCTTTCTTTCTTTCTTTCTTTCTTTCTTTCTTTCTTTCTTTCTTTCTTTCTCCATTGCTCCTAATTACCATTTTAATCCTTGCTTTATCTTTTAACTGTCTCATAAGGCTGACTCCCTCTTGGTCAGAATTTATCTGTGTCCCAGACACTTTAAGCTAATTAACCCACACAGCCTGACATAGCCATCATTTACTTTTGCCCTGAACTCCTTTTCAACTCCTGGAGAGATAAAATTTGCCAATTCACTTGGGTTTTCCATTATCATAAAAAAATGTGATCCCAAACTCCTGAGTTCTACCCTAACCTAGCATCTAATTAAGTCAAAAACTTCAAGGCTGAGAGAAAACACTTTTGAATTCTGGTCAGGCACCTGCAGGGAGAGAGCTATAAGCATTTGAAGGGAAAAAAAAATTTCACCATTGCCCATTGAAAAAACAGATTAACTGCAATTATTGATTATTTATCCCAATGTATCTCAGATGTTCATGCATTAATGTTAACTATACTTTCATGTTCACCAGTTTTCATGAAACCCTAGCACAACGGTTGCTGGCCTGAAGGCCTATTTGCACACCCAAAAAGAATTGAATGAACATCCAAACGCCAGTCTTATGGACATCCTGGACAAGTTGCATCTACCTCTCTCCCAGTACTATGGTGGACGGCTTCTCTTAAAAGCCAGCCTAGTGGACTCAACATAAATAAGATTTCCAGTGGTGATGGGAGATAACATGCAAGAGAGAAGGTTGGCAGTGACATTGAAGCATTCAGCTCCAAGATGCAGTGCTAAGAATACAAGCATAGGTTTTTATTTTGATAGAAGGCAATCGGTTCCTGATGCTGCTTTATTGGAGAATACTACATTGGAAACAGGAGACAATGGTATTACAGATAAATAAAAATGATAGTAATCACCACTACGTGGCCAGTATTTCTGTTCTCAGCACCATGTCATAAGTTTGCAGGAGTAATAATGGTTTCTGGAACCATCAGATTTATGCCCAATGTTATGTGTTAGTTCCTGATCTAATTCTAGAATCATTTTATCAGTACTATCTTCTGATTTCTTACAGCTATTCTTAGGTCTAATGATGGACCATTTTATCCATGTTATTAATACTGTGAGGTTCAATTTTTAGTTGGCATGGCCATTGACTGGAATTCTGGAAGTTGTTCTTCTAATATATTACAACATTGAAGACAGGTTTAAGTAATCTGAATAAACAGGTGCCTTAAGGTTGGTGGTGTTTTAAT